AACTTATGATCCAGGAAAAGGGGGCCTAATTGCAGGATAGCAAAGTTCTAAAGAAGGTGAGAGAACATGACATCTGGGTCAAACGCTGAGTGGCAGAGTTGACCTTGGATGTGAATAGGGTCACCTCATCCAAAACGATGGAGAGAGGAGAAAGAATACAGATACATTTGCAGGTCGGTTGATATGTTTGGTATTGGGAAGATGAGCAAGTCTGATTGCAAAGGAGTGGATATGATGATAGAATATAAAATCCATTCCAGAGAAACAAGAGAGCAAAACACGAAGAGGCTGACTTGTTTAAGGTGACAGTGTCAGTTGATTAGAGGTCTCAATGAAGTCAAATAATTGCTTGGCAGGTACAATAGAGTCATAAGCTAGAAGAATAGGAGGTGGTGATCTAGAGAGGGAAGCTTGAAACCTTAGATTTTGAGAGTGGTAAAAATTATTGGTGTTGGCAAGGTCAAAGATATGACCATGTGAGTTTCTGAGGTAGAGAAGAAAAAAAGATGAGGAAATGGGGTGCTCAAGAATCAGAGAGGACAGGGTGGGTGTTGGATGGATCATCCAGGTGATGTCTCCAAGAGAGACGAAGTGGAAGACTATCCAATGTGTCAAGATCTCCAATGAATCAAGGGAATGATTGAGAGGTCAGTAAATGACAACTGCTTGGAGCCATTGTAGGTAATACAGTCTGATGGCACGAACATCAAAGGAATAGGAATTTTTAAAGGAGAAAAAAGTCATTTGAAACAAGGACACCTACTGCACCCCACTCCTTCACCAAATTTAGTGATCTGAGATACTAGGCACTGAGATACTTGAGGTAAGAGACAAAAATGTGACTCCTCTATAAGTGGTAAATTAAATTTTGTTATTGACAACAAAGTTTAAAGAAGTTCAGAGTAGGAAGAAATGAACACAAGCAGCGGGGAAAGCTTTATGGGAGAGGTGATCTTGAAGAATAACCAGAAATTTCATAGATTTTAAGATTTAAGATGGAATCATCTCAGACAACCCTCATTTTACTTGAGGAAACTGAAACCTAGAGAAAATCAAGTGACTTCTCTTCTCCATATTTCATTACGCTCCATATTTCAGATGTAGGGAAGAGAAAAGAGTATTTTATAACAAAAAAAAAAGAATGTGTTCAAAAGCCTGAAGGTAGAAATGAACAGGAAATCGGCGTAAGCAGATCGGAATGTTCTTATCTGGTAATAGTACAAGACAGTGCTTGGAAAATACAATAGAGTCAGCTCGTGAAGGTTTGGATTTTTGCAAAATAAAAATGTACTTATCAGTGTTTGCTGTGATAATACTGTAGAAATCCTGTAGTGGCTTAGAACAACCAGTTTTGGGGTCTGGGGGTCCACTGCGGCAGCCTCTGCTCCAGACTGCAGGCCCCTGAGATCTGATGGTGCTCGTCTCTTCCCAACTCCACGTTCGCTGACCCCACGCTGAGAGCTTGTCAGCTGTGGTGAGAAATCAGCAAATGCTGCAAATGTGCACACTGTACAAACCAGGGCAGTTTTTCTCCAGAGAGGCAGCTGTTAATCTTTTACCAGCACACCACCAGCTGCCGGTAAAGTTCAGGTGTATTCCAGGTGCCTCTCTGAAGGAGCCGTCATCCTCTGGGGCTAGCTGTCCACGTGGCAGAGGGTCAAAGCTCAAGAGAGGTGGATGGGAACGTGTGCCGCCGCTAACCACCTCTGCTCAGAACTGGCACGCTGCCACTAACACACACATTCACTGTCAAAGCAAGTTCTGTGGCCGAGCTCAGAGTCAATTGGGGCAGAGAAGTATACTCCACCTACAGGGAAGGCATGCTCAGAGAGGATGTAAATAAAGACATGCTCTGAGAGGAAGTAAAAAAAATGTGTTGTAAATGCTACAGTCTGCCTCAGCATAGAAACAGGGAATCATTACCCGTTCTTCAGTTGGGTCAGGCCCAGCAGTACTGTTCAGATGATACCACCAGTGGGACCATCCCAGTTGTTCTATAAAATATTAAACATGAAAGTACCTCTGTATCTGCTGGTTACCAGCCACTGCTCCAAGCCCCTAAATTCTCCCCCTCCAACCCCTTAATCCCTGGTGAAGCCCTGGGTAGGCTCAGTGGGATGATAATCCAGCTGTGTTATGGGAGGCAGGATGGTAGACAGCAGTGCTAAGAATGTCGGCTCTCCCTAGCTCCTTATGTAACAGCAGTGTAACATGGGGCACACTGTTTAACCCTGCTCTCTCTTCCTGTTTCCTCTTCTGTAAAGGGGAAGTAGTGGTTTATACATCACAGGGCTGTGAGGATTTAATTAGTTGATATATGTAAAATGCCTAGAGCAGTGCATGGCACATGATAAACTCCGTATCAGTATCTACTATTAATAATAATAGTATTAGTGAGTAATTAATACCCATTAGACTGGTAAGATGCATTCATATAAAACAGTAACACATATGGTAAGAATTCAAACAAAAAGATACATCAAGCCATTAGAATAGTTGCCTATGTAGGGAGTGGTGACCAAAGGGAATAAAGACATTAAGACACTGATGACTGAGCTCCATCCCCAGAGATTCTGATTCTGTTTTGATCTGAAATAGGGCTTGTCTGGGGTGTGCCCTGGGAATCTCTATTTTTGCAGAATAAGCCCAGGGGATTATGATGCATAGATGGATTTGGGACATATTGGTAGTTGTCTAGGAAAAACTCACTACTCACACAGAACACTTCTGTGGCCTGATGTATGCGGGTTTTTCCCACACCAAGCAATTCTGTAACACCAGCTGGGTGTCCTACAATTCAGTTCAATTCTGACACTAACCAGAGTTAGCGCAGACCCTACCGGTTAAGGGCTCAGTCTCACAAGACTGTTCCCCCACTTCAGATGTCAATCGGAAGTCCAGGTTGTCACCTGTGCTTTTGACCAACCAGCTATAAATTAGGGTTCCCATGATCCCCTTCTAGGGTTTGATAATTTGCTAGAACAGCTCACAAAACTCATATATTATTATATAATAAAGGATATGATAAAAGGCACAAACAAACAGCCAGATGAAGAGGTACATAGGGCAAGGTCCGGAAGGGTACAGCATAGGAGCATTTGTCTCCGTGGAGTTGGAGACATCCAACAGCCTCCTGGCATGTGAATGTGTTCACCAACCCAGAAGCTCTCTGAACCCCGTACTGTAGGGATTTTTATGGAGGCTTAATCATGTAGTCATGATCGATCGTTAACTCAATCGCCATCTCCTCTCTCCTTCCTAGAGGATGGGGATGGGGCTGAAAGTTCCAAGCTTCTAATCATGGCTTGGTCTTTCTGATGACCAGCCTCAATCTTGAAGCTATCCAGAAGCCCACCAAGAGTCACCTCAATAGATCAAAAGACACTCTTATCACCCAGGAAATTCCAAGGGATTTAGGAGCTCTGTGTCAGGAACCTAGGTCAAAGACTGAATATTAGAAAAAAAGATGCTCCTAGTGTTCTTATCACTTAGGAAATTACAAGGGTTTTAGGAATTCTATGCCAGGAACCAGAGGCAGAGACCAATATATATATTTGCTATTATCTCACCTAGTAGAAAGAGCATGCTTCTTGTGGAATCTGACACACACGGGTGCATGTTCTAGCCCTGCCACTTTTTTCAGTCTCTTGGACAAGTTATTTAACTTCGGTTTCCTCATCTGTAAAAAAGAGACACTACTATTAGATTAATTAGGACTCTTCAATTTGTAACTGAGGGAACTCAAACTCAAACTCACTGAATAAAAAATGGTGGGGGGAGTTTATTGGTGCTCAAAAGCAAACTACAGAGAAGTGGATATGGTGCTAGCCCAGGGACAACCAGATTCAGGCACTCCGGCTTTTTGGGAGTGTGTTTGTGTCTGATTGCCTTTCTCTGGGCATCCTCCCTGCCTCCATCTTGCCCCATCTCTACTTGTCCCTGTTTGGTTTTATCCTCTCCTACAAAGGACAAGCTATGTCTATGTGGCAGGGACCACGAGTATAGAGGTCCAAGATTGTGATTCTTCCAGATGCATAACCCAGTAGGCAAGATGGGATCATCCCTGTCAGCCTCAGTGGAAATATCCTGGTGAAGGGCCTGCATTGGCTTTGCATGGGTCAGGTACCATCCTGATGGTTGGGGCCGGGGACATTGTGGCACCAAAAGTGTGTGTGGTAGGAGTGAGGTTGGAGGTGGGCATGGGAAGAGCTCTGAGCATACAAAGATAATAATTACCATAACTCTCAGCTCAGAAGATTTTATGAGAACTAAATAAGATGCTAACGTAAAAACATGCATGTGGTGCTTGCCTGCAGATAGCAGACACTCAAATATTGGTTCCTTTCCTTTTCCCCTCTTGATGATTTGAATGCAAGAAAAGATGTTTAAATATGATGATCTAAAATGCAATTCTTATTTCAACCTCCTAGAAATTCGGAGAAATACATACAGCTTTAGCGATGTAGTTTATCTACTTTTGTTTACTCCTTTACCAAATTTAGTGATCTGAGGATTTAATTCCCTGGCTTAATTTATCTATAATTACTATATCACTTTTTAGAACTATAAAAGATGCCAAATAAATTCTTAAGATCTTGCCCTTATTAGTTTTAAGAAATCTTTCAGAGTCAATGTTTTATTGTATTGTACTTGTTGATTTAACGGAAAGAACCCTGAAGACCTGGGTATAAGTTCAGTCCATCACAGGCAAGGCACTCAATTTCTCAGAATCTGATTTTTTTCATTTATTTTAAAAAGGTGATGCTGATAGCATCTCATAGAGTTGTTGTGAGGACCAATATTAGGTAAAATCTCTTTGTAAAATGTAAAGATATAGCACTAGAATTAATAAAAGCCTTTGTTCCTTTACATAAGCTCTTTAAAAAGGAAAGAAGAAAAGTTTCCCAAGTTGGTTTATGTTCTTATATGCTCTGATATGACCTTGAATGTCTTTGAATAAAAATGTCCACGTGGTATAATTTAAACTTTCTCTCTAACAGAACCAGAAACGTATGGACCTGTGAAAATTCCAACCCAGTCATTGCTGCAGGATGTCGCAGGACAAGCAAGGAAAGAGAAAGTGAGGTTACCTCACTATTTGCTGAGTTCCAAGCCCAAGTCTCAACCTCTCACAAAGGTAAAACAGACATGGGAACAAATTTCCCAAAGCCAACCAGCGTTTTATGTAATCCCGACTCCTTGACGTTATTGATTCTAGCCACTGTGTTCTGCTGTTCACTGTACATACCATCTCACCATGAAGGCCTTCAGGTCACACAGAGGTAAACTAAGGCAGTGCTTTGCTGGACCCAGCTCATACAGGCTCATGAGAGGAATTTTATGAGCCAGCTGTTAAACCATTGGTAGCTTGAAATCAGCCATGCTGGGAGTTCTTACACCATAGAAATCAGCAAATGCTACTAATCATGATCCTTTTCGGAGAGCCAATTTGCCAACACTACTGGCCAAGAGGATCATTGGCCACCCTTCTCATGACTCTTAGGATAAAATCCAAATGACTTAGATGACTGCAAGGCATGGTCCTGTTTGCTTCTTTACCCTCACCTTGTCCCAAATTCACTATATTTCAGCCAATATGGGTTTCTCTCAGTTCTTTAAAAGCACCAAGCTCCTTCCTTCCTCAGAGCCTCCAAGATTAAGATTCCATCTCAGCTCTGTTGGGAAGCCTTTCTTGAGCCCACCAATCAAGTTTTCATAGGTATCCTTTGATACTTTCACGGCACACTGTATTCATTACCATCATAGAATTTATCACAATGTATTTAACTGATATGTGTTAGGAGTGCTTCTCCAACTCTAATGTGCACATGAATTACCTAGGGATCTTGTTAAAACATAGATTCTGACTCACTGGGTCTGGTGTGGGGCCTGAGATTCTGCAGTCCTAACAAGCTCCCAGGTGAGGTCACTGCTGCCGATCTGGGGAATAACAAGGACATAGGGCAGTGGTTCTCCAAGTGTGGTTACCAGACCAGCAACATCGGCAGCACCTGAGAACTTGTTATAAATGGAATTCAGGGGCCCCATCCCAGATTTACTGATTGGGAAACTCTGGGGACAGAGTCAGCGATTTTTGTCTTAAGGAGTCCTCAGGTGATTCTGATGGGAACTAGAGTTTGATAATCGCTGGCACAGGGGAAAGAGCACACACTTTAAACTCAGACAACCTGAGTTTGAAATTTTACTCCACCACTTACCACTTGAGTAAATTACCTTTTAAGTCTCTGAACTTGAGCTTCTTTATCCTTAAAACAAAGCCTGAAATACTTCCTTACAGTGCTGTTGTAGGGATTACATGAGACCATAAATGTTCCTTTCCTCCTCCAGCCAAGCAATTATTTTCCTCTGATGACAGAGCTTTTTCTTATCTTGGGAATGCAAACTAGAACCATTTTATTACTTTTTCTTAATGCAAAGGTGGAGGATTCTGTTGGAGGAAGAGTGAAAACATCCTCTGTTGCTTCTGCTGCCATTAATAACGCAAATTCATCCCCTTTTGGATTCCACCTTCTCCCATCGTCAGTGAAGTTTGGAGTGCTTAAAGAAGGCCAGACCTATGCAACCACCGTAAAGCTCAAGAATGTTGGCGTGGACTTCTGCAGGTGAGGCCATGGCACCAAATGTCTGCTCAGGTCACCTTCTGCTCTGTGACTTGTCTTTGGACATCTACATCAGTGAATGTTTATTGAACTGAACTGTAATTATACCTTGATTCTTTTTTTTTGTGTGAGGAAGATCAGCCCTGCGCTAACATCAGATGCCACTCCTCCATTTTTTTTTTTTTTTTGCTGAGGAAGGTTGGCCCTGGGCTAACATCCGTGCCCATCTTCCTCCACTTTATGTGGGACGCCGCCACAGCATGGCTTGACAAGCGGTGCGTTGGTGCGAGCCCGGGATCCGATCCTGTGAACCCCGGGCCACCGAAGCGGAGCGTGCGCACTCAACTGCTTGCGCCACCGGGCGGGTGCCGCTATACCTCGATTCTTGAATCATCACATCAGTCATTCAATCATTTACTCACTAATTCATCCATTCATTCCTGCATTCAGTCATTCATCCATTCATTCTTCAACAAATCAGTATTTACCAAGCTTGAACTATGTAGTAGGTACTTCTTTGCCCTCCCATTAATCATTATTCATACTTTGGTAGAAGCAACTCAAGGCTTGATCAGCACTAGCAAAAAATGAAGGGGAAGTTGTACAAGTGTTACAATAACTGATGCACCAAATTTGAAAGTCTATTTCTCAAATCCACCACCAACTATAATACCAGCTGACATTTGTTTGCGCTTTATGATCTAAAAGTGACTTTAATTACATTATTTCTGGATAATCGAGGCAAAAAGGAAAAAAATTTAACCTGAGTCATTAGGGTCATTTTGACTCGGAAGATTTGACTTGGAATTAACAAATACCTTAACTCACAGTCTGTACCCTCAGTTGAAAATACACTATATCTGGCATTCAATGACAAGAAAAAGAGTCAGTCCTTCATTTCCAGATCAAGACCAATAAAATTTTAGAGCTTGGAGAGATCTTAGAGATCATTACAAAGGAACCAACTGAGTAACTTGTTTTCCGGTCTTGTAGGCTAGAGCAAGGCTGGACCTCAGATCTCCAGGGTACCAGTTCATTGGAGGCACCTTGCTTTATCAACATAGCTGTGTCCCTACTTCATGTAGGAATTCAGTCCTTCCCATTGGGTCAATATACCATATATCTATACCAAGACAACTCCCATTACAAAATCTCCTCTATTCTATTCTGAATTAAGCATAACGTGGGTTTTTTCCCCCCTCATAAAAATGGAATAAATGTTTATTTCAATTGCAGAGTTATTCTCAGTGTAAGTGGCAAGTCTTTGAAGAATGTTTGTGATTATGGACCTAGGATTGGAAATCAGATGAAGCAAAGCTACAGGAGCATCCAATTTAAAATTTTAGTTGAGGCAAATCCCCAACTTCAGGAATCATGTTTGCTTCCTCAGAAACAACCTGATGAGGGACCCAAGCCACCTGATCAGATATTATTGTTTTTTTTTTAGGTTGTTGCCAACAAAGTGGGTCGAGAGAAATAGAGTCAACCTCAAACTAATAAAACTCATCCGTGCAGATCCTGTCTGTCCAGTATAGAATTTTAGTTTTAGAGATGTCACTCCTCAACTTGTTAAATTCAGCCACTATAGGGCAGACAGCAAAGTTGATGGTAGAAGGAGCGAGATTGGGGTCAATGTGGAGGTAGGCTTTCCTTGGCATTTTAATTTACTCCACGTCTTTAACTTTCAGGCAGAACCCACAAACCACAGGAAGGGAAAGAGATCAATAGGCACCACGTGTGAGCACAGGGCTTTTCGAGTTCTCCAACATTTTCTGAGCCTTTTCTGTTTCTCTTCTCCCCAAACATGCAAACCCCATACCACGACAGAGCAAGACTGGCTTCCATGCTCCACTGCTTTCCAAAAGAGCCTTTATTCTTCAGCTTAATGATCTGGCAGCCAGCATTTTGTGTTCACACTGGCAGCTACGCTGCAATGCACACACCAGCCAAACATTCACAACACTCTGCCCAGGCCTGAGCTGCTTGTCAGCATCCCATAACAAAAGGTTGAAACTCAGGTTGGAGTCTGTTTGACACTGATGAAAATTATTGGAAAGATGGTTGTGAAATGGGCCCCCGATTCTGATCCCAACTGAATATTAGGTTGTTTTTCTAATGGTAATGGACCTCCTGCTCCTGTGTAGCAAATATTAACCCCTTCCTGATTTTATAACATCCATGTTCAGTCATTGCTCATGTTTTTCATTATGGCGTAACTTTATTCCCATCTTCTTGCCTGGTAGGTTTAGGGTGAAGCAGCCTCCACCCAGCACAGGACTGAAAGTGACCTACAAACCTGGGCCTGTAAGTCCCATGTGCTATCTGTTGTTGTGTGTCTGTGTGTGCACATACAAATATGTGTATGTTTCCAGTAAAGTGGGTATTTGGATCATTCTACCCATTCAGTTTAAACCATGTATAAGTCTAATTTTTCTAGTATCATAAGCAAAAGATTCCTAGTAGTGGTACAATATGTGGCTTAATGTCACTTCATGTAATAACCATGAGACAGATCCTATGTGTAAATAGTTAAACTTCCAGCTATGGAAACATCTATGAAGTGCACCCCATTTGTCTCAATACTAAAGTTATGTACAGTTGTATGAAAAATACCTTTTTAAAAATTATGCTTTAATAAGCCTTGGAAAGCTGATTATCTAAGGATATCCTATAACAAATCTTTCTGCAAAGTGAAAAATACATTGGAAAAATAATTATTCCATTCTTCATATTTTATGTAAATCTGGTTTGTTCTCTTAGTGCTTGCCAGAGAATATTATTGAATGACACACTAAGAAATAGCAGTATATTAAATTCATAAGCTGCCTCATTTCTCCAAAGATCTCTGAAAACACAAATTTTAAAATGTCAACGTGTTCTGACTTTAATACATTCCCCGAAATGAGGTGTTTAGTATAAAATATGTATATTGCTACTTACTTTAAATTATAATTTCAGAAATGTAGTATGATGTAAACAAAAGTTAGTCTCAAAGTATAATAAAATCACATTTGTAAATCTTAACATTTATTTCTTGGTCAGTGAATCATTTTGCTGCTTTAACACTCATTTCACTCAAAAAACTCTGAGTTCCTCCCATACTCCGCTGACAGTGCCAGGGTATAGGGGATGTTAAAAATGAGTTAGACACATAAGGAGCTTATGCAGCCGGGCACGCAGTGGGCACTCAAGAGCAGTGTGATTGAGTGACAGATGATGTGAGGAAGTCAGGTAGATACATGAACCATTCAGCACTAAGGGGGACACGCACAGGCTCACGGGAGCTCTGAGGAAGGGGATCCAGTCCCGCACCCAGCACACAGTGCTCACAGCAGCCCCAGTTGTTATACGCTGACACAGAAGGGTTGGTTTGGTATAAGGCAAAGTCAGTTGGCTTCTTCCCATGACTGTGCCACCAAGTAGCTCAGTGATGTTGTTGGTTAATTAATCCTCTGCCCCTTGCTTCCTCATCTGTAAAAGAAAGAGCTTAGACTGGATTCTTAGCTCTCTTTCAGCTCTAATATCTTATGGTCTAGAAAACGGTAATACGCAGGCCCCAATTCCAAACAGAAAAACATTTGGGGATTAGGTCCACTAATTTATGAGTACCTCTCTGAAACAATTCATCACTGTACTGTGTCCAGAGTTCAGAATCTTCACAACATATAGCAAAAACAAAAATCAAAGCAAGCTCCTCTTCCTCTGTTCTGGGAAGTTAGCAAATCTTCTTCATTTAAAATAGGGATTATGCCAAAAGTCAAAATGACTGTTGGATCAACCTTTGTAGGTACTAAAAAGCCCAGCATGTACTCTTTGAAGCTCACTCTATACTGTTAGTTTTTTTTTTTTTCTACTTCTTGATGGTAGACTTGGGCTCTGGCAAAAATATAATCTATAGACTTCTCCATATGTAAATCTAACCACTGTTCAGCTTGGTTAGTTGCCAACACTAAATGAGTCTGCTTAAAGCCGGGGTGAACCTGTGTGCTGGCAGCCCTCCAGCTCCCCTCTCGCAGAATGTCATCATCCACAGCCCTCCTCTGATTGTTGGGCTTGGAGGACCGAGGGCTTGATTCTCAGAAACTGAGTGTTTGGATACCCTCCAGTATGCAGACGTTCACAGCACATTGTTGAAAAATTGAAACATTTTTCAATTCCATTATTTATAAAACTATATTGAAGAAAAAATTCCATTTGTATCTAATTGCTTTCCATGTGGTAGTTTCTGATGTATTTTTTCCAGATAACTGTTCTCAAGTCTGCTTTTTAACCTACCTCCTGGAGAGGCAGCTGAGAAACATAAACAGCTCTTTCTTTCCTGGCTAGTGTTCTCTGCAAGGAACAAGGCAAGAAGCCCATTCCTTGCTGTGTTTCTTCTTCATTATAGATCAGGTTTCTTCTTTGTTGGTACAAACCTCCTCCATGTAGCTTTCAGACCTAAGCAGTTTGGCATTTAAACTAATTCTGTCTCCCTCTACTGGCTTTGTCAGGTTACAGGTCCTACATTAGGAGTACTATAAACCAAGGGGCAGGATCGGGAAGTTGTGGGATTCACTCAGTCTCTCAGATTAAATTTATATTTATCTTAAATTTATCTTTATCTCCAAGGATGCTAATAGATACAAATTCACTACTGGCATTCAAGAAATAGCACAATTATGGGCATTGTAGAAGTTTGCCTTGAGTGCCACGTCAGTATTCCGGCATTTAGTTTCCTTATGCCTTTTCCTGAATAGCACCTGGTTTTCCCCTTCAACAATTTATCCTGCGTCCCATTTACTCAATGGAATTCTATCTAACTAATCTACGAAGCAATTCTTCTAAATCTTGTAAGAGCCATCATTCACTAGTGCCAAATTTTTAGATGAAGAAACAGGATTAGAGTTTAGTAACTTGCCCAAATTAATGTTAAAAACCAAGATTTGAACTCAGATATGCCTGATCCTAAAGCTACATTGTGTCTTATAGGTGGCAGCCGGTTTGCAGGCAGACCTGAAAGTGGAGCTATTTGCCATGGCTATGGGAGAGGACGGTGCCAAGGGATCAGCACACATCTCTCACAATATTGAGATTATGACCGAGCATGATGTCCTGTTCTTACCTGTGGAAGCAAATATCCTTTAAAGTTCAGTTTGAGTAATCATAGATAGTGCAAAAATTATATGCGAGCAAGGAGAGCATGGAAGTCAAAATGCTGTTTTCTAACCGCCTCAAACCCACATCTATCTTCATTAATTCTATCTTTAAAACCATCGAGTTAAATTTCTTAGGACAAAGACTGTCTTCATTCATCTTTGAAAGCATCTAGCAAAATGCCTGACACACATCACTGCAAATTGAATAAAAGTCAATGTTATTGGCTATTTATGGGACATCAGACAATCAGAAATTTAAGAGAAAGCAAGTATTTGTCATCAATAAAACTTGTGATCTTGTTGAGGGACAGGAGATACCTTATTATACAGGCTGGATGTATATTCACTGAATTGCACATAGATTCCTTCATATTGGTGTCTCTTGCATATAGATATCACACTGATATCCACTACCTAATATATGCAAGTAGGGTATGAAATATTTTATCATATATAAAAATGAAATTGGGAGTCTATCTTAAAAGACTTATATAATCTAGTAGCAGAAATAAAGTCTTCACCCTTGATTCCTATATTATTTTGTACTCCAATAACATGAATCATGTCCTACTTTTTGTTAGGTATCTATTTGGTATTTGAGCTGGGTCTTATAGAATGCAAAAACTTTTGAGGAAAAAAAGAGAATAAACAAACCCATAGCAATAGGAAAGCTCCAGGTGTTTGGAGGGTTAACAGGGAGTTCAATTTGTTGAGAGCTTAGAGAGAATTAGAAAATATAGTGGGAAAATTGGTTGGAATCAAGCTGTGGAAGATTTTGAATCCTTGGCTTAAGCTGTAATATATAAGCAACAGTGAATCACTGAAGATTTCTGACCCAATGGATGATATAATCAGCATGTCTTTATAGAAATGAATTCACTGTTATGGTGCAGGGTATGTTGAAGGATAACCTTCAACATATGTAAAAAACCATTGGAAGGCTGTTTCAATAGGCCAAACGTAAGGACGAGAACTATAGCATGGCAACAGCAGACATGGAGGAGAGACATGGATGAAAGACACTTGGCAGGAGCAACTGTAAGACCTGAGGTGGAGCCCACTGATAGAAGGAAGTAAGGGAACATGAGTTCAACTCCCAGGTTTTGGGCTCAGGTAGAGATTCACGGATATGTCACGGATATGCAGGGCTGGATCTCAGTTGAGGGATCAGAGCTGGAGATATAATTTTAAGCATCATCTACACAGAGGTGATGACTGAAGGTATGGGAAAGGAGCAGAAATTTGGGGTCTGTTCAGAGAGCAGGAGGAAGAATAGGAGCCAGTGGAGACAGACCAAGCAATTAGAAAACCATGAAATATCTCAAAAGCCACACAAAGAATTTCAAGGAAAATAGGGACATAGTTGACAGATGCTATAAAGATATAAGAAAAATGCAGATTTAAATAGGACGGCTAGATGTGGCTGGGGCAAAAACTAAATTGCAAAAGATAAAGAATGACTGGTTATTAAGAAAGCAGAAACACTGAGTATGGATGATACTCGTTAAAGAAAATTTATTATTAAAGGAAAGTGCAAGAGAATATGGTACCTCAGGGAGGCAACAGAGCAAAGGTCTCCTTTTGATTTTCAGTTTAGTGTAGACTTAAGTATGTTTGTAGGCTGAAGAGAATGGATCAGAAGAGAAACATTAAAAATGTGAATGAGAGGAAGTAACTGAAGCAGCAATATCCAAAAGAGAGCCAGAGAATAATCAAGAACAGAGCTGAAGCGTTAGTCTTGGCAAGGGAGAGAGTGAAGATGGCTAAGGATCCAGACATTCTGAGGTGAAGGAGAAATTTAGGGGGACTTGTGTCAGAAGGCCTTGATTTCAATAGAAGTGGAGTTGAATTCATGTGTTCATTTAATCTTTCAAAGATAATAAGGGCCTGTAAAGTGCTAGGCACTGTTCTAGGCACTGGGAATATAGCAATGAACAAACAGAGACAAAAAGCCCCACCCTTATGTAGCTTACATTCAGGTAGGAGGACAGATAACACACGAAATAAGTAAAATATGGACTTCATGATGGTGATAAGTACAATGGAGAAAAGTATTAAGTAGGAAAGGGGGTATAGGGAGTGCTAAGGAGGACTGCAATTTAAAACGAGATAGTCAGGAAAGCCTCACCAGGACGTGATTTTTTTTTTTTTTTTTTTTTTTTGATGGCAGGGTTCTTCTGTGGTGATAGAAGGAAACTAACTAAGGAACCAGTATTTTTCCTCTGGGAATTAAATCAAGTCCTCTTATATCCTCTTCACACAGGTTGTTAGATGCTGATCCCGAGTATCTGAATCCCTGTTGCTGATCACAGCAAGTAAATCATTTTGTATTTATTGTAATAAAATTTCTACTTCCTTGCTTATACAGATCACTTGTCAGGCACAGATAGATGGGGAAGTGTTTTATTAGCTCTTTTATCTACTTCCAACATCAACAATGATAGTTCACAGCCCATTTCCCAAGATCTATCCCCCTCCTCACCAAAAAAGCATGAAATCTGGATGTTGATATGGTTTGGGGTCTGGTTATGGTGATTGATGGCTCCTATAGAGAGGCCAGTCAGTTAGCAAAGAAACATACACCAGGAAGGACAGACAGAAGAAATTCCAAGAGATCAGTAGCCATCCTTCATCCCCTAAGCCTGAGCACATAAAATTTGCATTAGATAGAAAAGTACTTTTCTATTGATAGCTATACTATCAATTGATATATACTATATACTATACTATATAGATAGTATATATACAATATATAGTATATAATACATATATTATACTATATACAAGTATACTATAGTATACTATATACTATATTGATATACTATACTATGGATAGCTATACTACCAATTGAGCTATAGCTATACTAATTGATAGCTATACTATCAATTGAGCTAATTATGCTAGACAAGAGGTTCTGATTCTAAAATGTTATCTGAGTTTATGATACAAATCATTTGGTCATCAAAATCATAGTCCTTAATGAGTATTTTACCAGTTTTAACAAGCAGCAATTATGATAAGAGATTAAAAGATTTTCCCCAGGAAAAAGAAAATCCCACGATCCAGAGGATTTCTACAATTTCTTCCTCTACACTTGGAGTCTTCATGTCTCGTAAAGTTTCTCCTCATTAGGTCCAGTAAGTAACAAATGGGAATTTGATTGTTAACCAAATTTCAGGCCTTAGACCTCATGTTTGTTCCCCACTTCTTACAATGAGACACTTAGCCTGGTGGAATGGAAATATTTGCTTTTAATAACTATAATAACCATCCCTTTATATACATTCACACTAATCCTCATACCATACATATAAGATATATTTTTCCCACTTTATCAATAAGGAAACTGAGGCTCAGAGAATCTTAAGTAGAACAAGTAAATCTAACCTACTTCCATGTGATTCTCAAGTCCATTCTTTAAGAGCTGTTTTCAGTCTTGAGCTGACCTTCCAAAAAGCAGGAGCACAAACACAAACCCCAGGATGCCCTTCTGGACTTGAGAATTAACAAGTAAGCCAGTGGTTCTCAAATGTTTTGGACACAAGATTCCTTATACATTCTCCAAAATCATTGAGGATCCCAAAGAGCTTTGGTTTATGTAAGTCATATCTATCACATATACCAAATTAGAATTAAACCTGGGAAAAATTTTAAATTTATGTAAAAACAACAATAAACCCAGTATATTAACATAGATTTTTAATGAAAAATAACTATTTTCCAAAACACAAATTTATTAAGAAGGGCACTGTTTTACATTTTTGCAAATCTCTTTAATGGCAGGCTTAGTAGAATATAGTTGGATTCTCCCATCTGCTCTGTATTCAGTCTGTCACCATATCACACATCATACAGCCTCTGGAAAACTCCACTGTACGCACGAGAGAAAAAGGCAAATTAGTTTCCTAGGGCTGCTGTAACAAATCTGTATTTGTTTCTTAGGGCTGCCATAACAAAGTACCACAAACCAGGTGGCTTAAAACAACAGATATTTATTAGCTTGCAGTCAGGAGGCCAGAGGTCCAAAATCAAGGTGTCAGCAGGGTTGGTTCCTTCTAGAGACTCTGAAGGAGAATTTGTTCTATGCCTCTCTCCCAAAGTCTGATGGTTGTCAGCAATCCTTGGTGTTAGTTGGCTTATAGCCGCAACACTCCAATCTCTGCCTCTGTCTCAAATGGCATTCTTCCCTGTGTATAGTCGTGCACCGCGTAACAATGTTTCAGTCAACGATGGACTGCATATACGACGGTGGTCCCAGAAGATTAATTAGTACCATATAGTCTAGCTGTGTAGTAGGCTACACCATCTAGGTTTGTGTAAGTACACTTTATGATGTTCACTCAACAACGAAATCATCTAACAATGCGCTTCTCAGAATGTATCCGTCATTAAGTGACGCGTGACTGTATTTCTGTGTGCATCTCTCTCCTTATAAGACCAACACATTGGATTTAGGGGCTACCCAAATCCTGAATGACCTCATCTTAACTTGATTACATCTTTAAAGACCCTATTTACAAATAAGGTCACATTCACAGGTTCTGGTAGACATGAATTTTGTGGAGACAAACCCAGTACATTCTACTCTCATGGTCCCTTAAAATTCATATCCATCCCACATGCAAAATATAGTCACCCCATCCCAACATTCCCCAAAGTCTTCGTCCATTCCAGGATTAATGCTAAATCCAAAACTCTTAAATAGCATCAACTCAAAAAGTTTCAAATCTCATCATCTAAATCAGGTATGGATGAGACTCTGGTATGACCTATCCTGGTTTTCTCTCCATCTGTGGACCTGGGAAACTAGAAAACAAGTTGTCAGCTTGCAAAATATAACAGTGGGGCAAGCACAGGATAGACATTCCCATTCCAAAAGGAAGAAAATGGAAGGAATAAAGGAATAAACTGGTCTAGAGCAAGTTTGCAACCCAGCAGGGCAAATTTCATGAGGTTTCAAGGGCTGAGAATAATCATCTGGGGCTTGATCTGACCCCTGGGCCCTCAAAGTCTTCACCAGCCCCAATCTCTAGACCCTCAGAGGCCCTGCTGGCCCAACCCTCTCCATCCTCAGCCTGGGACACTGTCTTATCCTCCAGGCAGCAAATTTCCTATTTATAGAATCCCAGAAGTCTGGCAGCCTTCCTTCATTTTGTCTTGTCTCTGTCCCCGTCAGGCCAAGCTGGCAGCGTTTCTGCTGATATAACATTCTCAAAAACCTGTCGTACTTCCGTGGATGTCAAGGGGGTCCGTGCCATTAGAGACGAGGGTCCTCCACAGATCCTTCCTGGATAACTGCATCTCTATTCCTGGCTTCTGCTGAGATGGTTGATGGTATCCATGGTCACAAATCTAACCTCTCCAGCAGGTTTTCCAGCCACATCCTTACTGATCTCCCCAGAGCATGCCTTAGCATCTTTTGCAATATGGATAGGCTGTGAATATTCCAAATAATCATGTTCTGGTTCCTTTTTGCTGACCAGTTCCTTCCTCAATTTGTCTCTTTCCTCTTGCACTTTACTCTAAGCAGCAAGAAACGAGGCCACGTCTTCCATTTTTTGCTTGGAAACCTCAGCTAAAAATTCAAGTTCATTTTTTTTCACCCAAAAGCAGAACACAATTCAGCCAAGTTTTCTGCCACTTTATAACAAGGATCACTTTTCCTCCAGTGTCCAATAACATGTTCTTCATTTCTGTTTGAGGTCTCACCAGAAGCACCTTTAATGTTCACATTTCTATCAATGTTCTTTTCATGATGATATAGAAATTCTCCAAGGTGATCGAAGCTTTCTCTACTGTTTCCATCGCTTCCTTCTGAGCCCTCACCAAAATTGCTTTGAACATCCATATTTCTACCAACAGTCTCTTTAAGGCAATCCAGACTTTTTCTCTCAAGGGGCTCACAGTTCTTCCAGCCATTACCCAATTCCAAAGCCACTTCAACATTTTTAGGTATTTGTTACAGCAGCACACCACTTTCTGGTATCAAAATCTATTAGTTTCCTGGGGCCACCATAAAAAATTACTACAAACTGAGTGGCTTAAAATAACAGATAGTTATTTTCTTGCAGTTCAGGAAGCCAGAGGTCTGAAACCAAGGTGTTAGAGGGTTGGTTCCTTCTGGAGGCTGAGGGAGAATTTGTTCCATGCCTCTCTCCTAGCTTCCGGTGGCAGCCAGAATCCTTGGTTTTCCTTGGCTTGTACCTGCATCACTCTAGTCTCAACCTCTGCTTCTGTTGTCACACGGCCTCCTTCCGTGTGTCCTCACATGGCATTCTTATAAGGGCTACAGTCATTGGATTTTAGTAAGACCATCTTAACCAATTACATTTGTAAAGACCCTATTTCCAAACAAGGTCACATTCACAGGTTCTGGGTGGACATGAATTTTTGGAGGACAGTAATCAACCTAGCACACATCTTAATATTGTTTTGAAAATATTTTTGACCTTGCAGACTTCTTGAAAGGGTCTTGGGGATCCTTAACAATCTTGGAATATACTTTGGGAACCACTGAATTAAGGCATGGTTCATCTCAGTTCTAGTCCATGACTTTCAGAAGTTATCCCAAACTGAGAAGTGGTGAAGTCTGCACCTCTAGCTGGAGATTTCTGAAGACTACCGAATAGCTTTCAAATAAAGATTCATAATTTCTGTTGGCATAAATTTATCAAAAGTAACTTCATGAATTGACCTAATAGAAAAAATGTCTTAAGTGATGTTGCCTTTATGCCTCTTTGTTCGTATTATCCCAGAGTTAAAGAGATTACAAGATGCTTATTGTAATTATTCTTTCATTTTAAAGACAAACGTCTCTTGTAAAGATTCTCTGTAGTATCACCCAGAGCTCACAGATAACATTTTAGTCTATTTCTTTCCAATCTCTTCTATTAATGTGTACACTGGAATCATTCTGTAATTTTATATCTTTTAAGTGGCACACAGTAACAAGAGTAACATATTCTGTTTACTTGGAGCCAGTAAGCACTCCACAAGAGCTCTGTGAGGGCAGGCGCTATTGTGCCCATTTCATAGATGAGGAATCTGAAACATAACCAGGTTAGGTAATTAGTTCTATAGAAGCTATAGTAGTTATCTGTTGCTATGCAATAAATTACCCCAAAACTCAGTGGCTTAAAGCAACACACACCTATGATCCCACAGCTTGTGTGGGTCAGGAATCCAGGCACAGCGCACTGGATACTCAGGCTTACCTAGGGTGACTCTGCCTTCAGCTCACTCAGGCAGTCATTGGCAGGATGCAGTTCCTTGTGTGAAACAAGTTGACAACAGTGACTCCATTTTGTACCCTGGACTCCATCTTGTTTAAAAAAAATATGAAACTGTGCTGACCTTGCTAATTTGCCAAAAGGGAGTTATTTGCTGAGAAGGGACTTTCTGAGGGACTGTGCAAAAATATACTTTTCGGGTAGCAACAAGATATACTTGAGTAAGCCAAGGAACTGTAACACAAATTGACCCTCCCTGACAAACAACTGAGGTGGTTGTTCTGGGCTCCCCTTGTTGCTAATAAAAACTCCTGAGTTTACTCCTTGGGGGGACACTTTTCTGGCTGCTGCCGGAACCTGTGCTCCCCGAATTGCAATTCTGAGACTCCAAATAAAAGCTCTCCTTTTGTTTTGCAATTGCTTCTTTTTTCTAAGTTGACACTTGCAGCTGTTAAACTGAGGACCTCGGTCTCTCACTGGCTGTTGTCTGGAGATGGCCCTCAGTTCCTCGCCATGTGGGTCTCTCCTTAGGGAATCTCACAACATGGCAGCTCAGTTCATCACAGCACATGAAGAGCCTGAGAGCATGAGCAAGGCAGAAGTCACAGTGTCTCATAACCTAATCCTAGAAGAGCATCCCATTACATTTGCTCTACTCTGTTCTTCAGAAGCCCATCAACAGGTCCAGCCCACACTCAGCGGGAAGGGACTACACAAGGGCAACTAGTGCTAGGTCCTAACAAGGGTCGGGCCCTGACTGTTGGACCACGTGGGCTCTGTCCTAACAACATGGCAGAGCTGCTCGGATCCCACAACACCTCAGAAACAAAGTGATAGCACTTTGAATATAAGGGGATGTTACCCTTAGGAACCTCAGTCTCACCTCAAAACTCAGGATTAAATTGTAA